TTATCACTGCATTCCCAGCACCTAGATCAGCACACAGTAGGTGCTCAATAAATGTATGTTGAAAACTTAGGCTGTATTAATGAAATGAATTAATAGGGAAGACTCTTGGAACAGGGCCTGGGATGTAACAATGGCTCAAGGATTGTTCGCTGTTGCTATTATAGACATCCAGCGGAAAGGCAAGCTGAGAAGGGAATCTGAGCAGAGTGAGAAGTTAGGTATGCCTGGACTCACCTGTCGGTAGCCTCTCTCAGTCCACTGAAGGACCGGGTTGGGTGAGGCCGAGAACTTGACCACTTCATTTTCGTACACGTCCAGAAGGCGGACCCGGAGCCGGTAGATGCAGCCGCAATTCTCTCGGGCGCCCCACCTGCCAGGTGGGGGTGAGCTTTGATGCCTCCGTCATCCACCCAATCTCTGGGCCTCCCTGCACTTTGATACGGGTTGCACACACCCACACCCCATATGTAGAGGTGTCAGCCTGGGATTCTGGGGGGAAGCGCCTGGGTACTTCAAGGTGGAGCCAGAGCCTGGAGCCCTCCTGGGGTGGATTCTAGAGACTTTTGGTCAGGTGGGGGAGGGGCAAGTTTGATGCTCTGGAGAGAAATGACCTAGGAGAGGAGAAGCCCCCAGTATTTCTGGAGAGGAGCCAGAGGGAGTAGGAATCTGGATACTCTTGGGATGAGTCAGAATTCCAGGGAAGAAATTGGATAATCTATGGAGAAGCAAGAGATGGAGGGAAGAGGAGTCTGAGATCTTTGTGAAGGAACCTGGGTGCTGTGGAGGAAGGTCTTATCGTAGGCCCACAGGTTCTGAAGCCAGCCAGTGCCTCTGGCCCAGCTCTGCCCCTTCTGAGCCTGTTTTCATGGCACAATGCTCCCAACTTTCTGAAGCCTTGGTGTCCACAGGCCCTTGGGGTTAGGGCAGAGTTGCAGGTGATGGAGTTGGATGGTGAGGGGAGATACCTGTTTTAGACCAGACCAAGCCAGTCAGTGGCTCCCATGCCAACCCAGACCTGCTGGGAAGAAGGTGGGGAAGAGTGCAGAATAGGGGCTCTCGGCTCACTGAGGCTCTGCCCTCCCTGGCTCAGCAACCATGAGAACATCACTTCCCCTGCCATGGCATCGATGGGGGCATGAAATGAACCCCTTTTGCAGAACTGCTGCTGCCACCATTGGTTCTGGGGGCAGGTTGCCATTCTTCACTCACCAGTCTGCCACACAGATCTCAATCTGGGCGCTGTCCAGCAGCTCCTGCCACACCCCCTCCATCACCAAGTCCACAAGCTGCCTCTTGAAGCACCATCTGGGAAGGGGAGATAGTGGGGGTGTGGAGCTACAGTCACAGCCCAGAAATCACCTCCTTCCAGAAGCCTCCTCTGACAACGCTGTCAAAGCAGCCCCT